ACCGCTACTACTATTGCTGCTGCTACTGCTACTGCTACTGCTACTATGACAACGATAATTCCTACTCCTCTACTGCTACCAATACTACCATCTCTACCGCTCCTAGGTCCGGGGGTTCGCTTTGTATGCAATTTCGGCTAAGCTGAGCGGATTTTCCGCGATTTCACCAAGTAATGTTGGGCGTCGCGAAATTTATTGTAGCACAGTGGTAACCCGCAATCAAACAACAACAAACCGAACCCATCTCCGGGGGAGAGACAAGTTGCAGTAGATCGCGATATCCTGTTGCTCCTCTACTCCCTTTCCCCCCGACAGCTCCTCGTTGCCCTCCTCGCAGAGATCCTGTCAAGTTCGAATGTGCTGGGATAGGTTGAGATTGGTTCCGAGGCTCCCCCCTGGCATAAGTTGTATCTGAGCTGGAGCTGCTGGCTCTCTAGCGTTGCAATGTCGAGCCAAGGCAACCTCATACGAGGGATGGCGATTGGATTCGGAGAGGCTGGAGAAACGGCCTGGGCCGACGTCCCGCTTCGCACATTTCCCAGCGCATCTGTGCAGCCCAGCCTTAGTTATCGACTACGACTGCCCTAAGTCAAGCTCGCAGCTTATGGCCCTCCAGTCCCTCGCTTTGTGCAGCTCAAGCCGCGTTTGCTTGAGGAGGTCCGTGCTAGACCGAAATTGGTTCATTTGCACGGAGATGCGCCTCAAATGCTCACGGTCATAGTGGGCACCCACACCATCCCCCACGGGTAGGTTTAGGATGTGACACAAACTGGACCTAGCTGCAGCATCATCCTGCAGCTGTGCATGCAGAGGCACATGGAAGCACGGGAGGGACGAGTCCACGGGAGGAATGAGTCAGGAACAGGAGGAGCCAGAGTCGGAAACAGCGATCCCGAACATCTGAAAACACTGAAAAGGACTGAGTGGTTGTGCAAAATCCTAGTCTCAAGGGAGTGGCTCACAGAAGTCCAAAACCTGAAAAGGAGTGAGTGGTGACGAAAACCCCGAGCCTCCACAGGCGCCACTGGTCACAAAACAGAAATCGCCTCTAAAGGAAGTGAGTGCGGCAGAATCCCACAACCGTACACCGTAACGGGAGTGAGTGTTGCGAAAAACTCAACCCCCCAAGTGAGTCAGCAAGGGATCATGAGAAGGAGTCAGAAGGAGTGACTGGCTCAGAGTGCCCTATTTTGGTCGTATAAAATACCACTGAAATCGCAAATGTAGAAAGGGCCTTCAATTCCGACCGGACTCGCGGCTGTCGTTGCCATGCTGCCGAACTCTTGTTGCATGTGCCCGCGATACTCTCTTGGAATCTGCTGTGTGGGACCAGTGACAGCTCCTCCTCCAAGACGATTTGAAGGATGCGAGCGACGGGCCCTGCCAAGTGCCAAGTGGCTTTGCAGAGTGCCATGCTGCGGCTACACTCGTTGTTCCCACGTGGGCTTAAATGCAGGAACCCCCATTCATCCTAGTCTTCGGGGCGAGGCGTGTGTATTCTGCTCGTGCACGGTCTACGACATGTGATTGAAAGCATGACCGCAACCTGCCTGCAGAACTCCACGAGCCATATGCCAAGGGGAAAGCGAAGTTCTCCCCGTTGACATCTCAGTCAAAGCACATCTCCGCGTCCCGTCGAAACCGAAAACATGATGGCAAAATTGGACCGCATCCTGCTTAATGCTTCTAAGCATCTGATCAGCCGCAGTTCCTCGTCATGGTCCTGTGGCCACTACCCGTTACTAGCCGCTAGCCAACTAGATTCGAAGAGATCACAAATGATCACCAGCAGTGTAGAGCCTTTGGTTTGCGTCTGCTCTGTCTCTTCCGATGCCAGGCACGCTGTCAATACTCTTGCTTCCACACCGTCGCGTTGTTTTGGACGTGCTTACAAGTCTTCTGAAACAAACGCCACAAATCGCACTTGCGCTTTGCTTCCTTGTGAAGGCAGTCGGCAGCGGCTGCAGCAAGACACAGCAGAATGCATGACACCAGCCGTGAGTCCATCACAGCATCACAGCTGGAAATCTCATGGATAGGTAGGTCGTTGATTTTATGTCATGTCGGCGTGTTCTGCTTTGTTCAGTCAGAGTCTAGCCTGTCATTCATATAAGGGGGGATCAGCTTGAACTTGCATATCTAGTGATTCGATTCGACTCTAGATGATCTTGTAATTTCATGCGGTCGGCTATCTGGAGCCCGGAGCGAGATTTGGCGCGTTTAGACATGTCTGCCACAACAGCCCTCTCTTCGGGGAGCGCATGCCTTGGCAAAGCCATGCGTTCTGGTTAGTTCGCAACGTGGGATGACACGCTGCGCGCCTACGCACACTGAAGATCAGAGGCTAAGGCACCTCTCTGCCTCCAGGTCCATTGCGCGAGCGCATCGAGCCCAGGCCTCCACACTTCCCCGCTTCTCAACTGCAAGCTTGCTGTAGAACTCAGGACGAATGCCCACGTCGACCTAGGCCTTTTTAACGAGCTGTCGGTTCAGATTCCTATTCACACATCCAGGTCGTTCCCTCCATGTTTGAAACGGTGAGCAGTGGAGTGATTGCTTCTGTTCATGGTGGAGCTTCTGCCGGAGAATGGAATCAATATACGATCCAGGTGACCCGAGATTCATGGAAAATCACGCGCCATCGGACACAACTGGCCAGGAAGGCAAGGCGGGGGGACACTCGAAAACCACGGAATCCCGGAACGACTGCTGAAGGCCTCGCCGGCGCTTGCGGGCTGTGACCATCCTTGCGCCAACTTGGTTTCGGTTCAACACCCGTCTGAACCACTCGCAGGTGAAGTGTTTGCCAGAGACGGTTTTGTCTGGGCCCGCCGCCGCGCAAGATGCGAGCTGCGGCCAAGATTCCAAAGTTGCCGACGACGCTGAAGCTGAAGTGGGTGACGAAAGCAGTGCAGTCCCGTGGCTCGTAAAACCTTAGCTGCTACCTCGTGCTGCAAAATCGTTCGACTACTGTCTTGTCAGCCAGCCGCGCCACACTACAACGGCTGCCTACTGCACCAGATCCACTCGACTTCTGATTCTTTCCATTGCTCTTTGACTCTATAGTCCTAGCCATGCAAGCACGGCAGGAACCTGCCAAAAAATGTTGTTGCAATGTGTGGATTCTGGATGTCTCTCGGTCGAGCAAGGGCCTGGTGAACAATCCACACTGCAGGGGTGGAAGAACCCATGAAATCTTTCCTGGAAGGCAAGCACCACCTTTCTGACATGCAGCTCCCCACAGCAGCTGTCAAACGTGAAGCTCGCTCCATCCCAGCCTCAAGTCGGCACCCACCATGTAAAAAACATTGGTTTCTGCTGCCGTGACGGCCCGGTGCTTCAGATCTCTGCTGATTGGCCGGCACTCAGCACTCAAACTTTTAAAATTTCTCAAATTTTTGTTGGAGTGCAAAATCCTAGCTGAGTTCGCCTGGCTGGCAGGAACAACGCGCAGTGCGGAGGAGCTGCAATGGGAGTTCCCCCCTGGGCCGAAGATGGCATTGCAGCACCTGGGTCGGAATCCGGCAACATCTGCCATTCCGGCCTTCGCAGACGAAACAACCCCACGGGTTGGTGAGATGCCCTGGCACTCTTCATCACAAAAAAGAGCGAAAGAGCGAGGACTGTGCTGACCACGAGTGATGCCATCGGTCCAGCAGTCCAGCTCAGCGGCGAATCCAGGCCTCAGCTGGGAATGCTTCGGATGTCGCAGAGGTGCAGCTGGGTGAGTCGATGCGAAAGCCTGGTCAGAGTTTCATCTCCTTGGAATGTGTGGCTGCTTACGGCATGCCTGGCCAAAAAAGGAAAGGTCCCGGCATTGATGCCGAGCAGAGGCTGTGGAAATTGGGGTTCGCAAGGTTTAGCGAACCGCGTGGTTGGGCTATGGAATGCTATGGAGGGGTTACAACGGTTAGGAGGAAAGCACATGGGCACCAGGTGTTGAGTTGAGCCCGGGAGCCCCAGAAGTATCACTGCCCGGAAATGACGGCCGAAGGCCATGGCAGCGAGCCACTCGCAGAGTGCTGATGCACATGGGTGTTAGGCCACTGTGTTGAGTGGGGGCTGCGAGCAACAAGTGGCTGCTTCGTCTTTCTTCGTTTCGCTCGCACATTGGAGTTAGTGCTTCACGGATTGGTCTTGCTGCGCAGGCTGGTAGTCTGCTTGCCGGTCGGCGGCTGTTCCAGTCTGTCAGGACTTCTCAAATCGCTAGATTGCGGCTGCAACATTAAGAGTGCATCACAGTGTCTGACAGATTGCTGTTGGTTACTGGCTGCGTACACGGCAGGCTTGTCCATAGTCTATTCACTGTTCGCAGTGGTCTGTACGCAGTGCTTCTGCTGCTTTTGCCTCTCTCGCTCTACGTCGCGCAGGGCGCACAGTGCACTCGGGGCAGGAGACGACTTCGTCCTGAGATCTGACACGAAGCTTCTCACGGCTCAACAGCGATCTGAAACCCCGATCTTTCCTTGCACGTCGTGGAAACCCACCCTGCTTCATGCAACGAATGCAAGCAGCACCTTTCCAATTCAGTTGGGAATGCACATGTGCAAGACGACTCGCGGAACTACACAGCTAACTAGATCAACCCTTGCGATGATCAGACTGTAAACGTCATGCAGGTCAAATCTTAAGCAGTTACTTAATCTGTGCTTCGGCTGTGTTCGGTTACACATCTTCTGAGACCGAGCCGATAGGGAGGGGTTGGGGGGGTTCTGCTCGCACGAGGAG